TCCCCAGTAACTTATCCCATCCTTCCTCCCCTTTCAAACCTGAGCATTTTCCTGAATGAGAGAACAACTTGCTAGAACCAGCTGCTTGTCTTGTACACTTACCCGTCTGTGGTTATCTGTCCCCTAAGTGAGAGCAAAGAAGACACGAGAGCTACCTAGGTGGTTCTGGGTGTGGGTTCTAGGCCTCTCCTCAGGTAGTTAAATAAAGGGGGACAATGGTAATTGGCCTGAGACAATTACTCTCCACTAGCACTATGTGTTGTGTTTGTGTGTGTGCATGCATGTGCACGCACGCACCTGTCACCTGTGTTACAGAGAGCAGGATCACTACCTCTACCTCCCAACTCTACTGCAGTCACGCCCAGGACACCGTGTATCACCCGTCCTTCACAGAAAAGAACTGCCACATGAAGCCACTGTTTGACATGAGAATGTTACCCTCAAGGAGTCTAGCATGCATAAAACTCTAAGGAGTGACTGCCTAAGATTGATATGATGAAACTATAAAAGAAAGTTCAGTCCAAACTATTGTGGTTCTAATTCCTGAGATCACATTTTCATTTCACAGTGAGAAATGTTATCATATCAACTAAGAAATGGCAGTTCACCCTAATCCTGGTATTATAGCTAATGACTACAGTCTGCACGCACATCACAATTAGCCTCAACGTGGCTTTACAAGAAGTACATAGACATATAAATGCCCATGAAACTGAACCTCATCTGTTAAAGGAGTATTAGGCAAAAATTCCTGGTCATGGCTCCAATTTTTCTACAGTTAAAACTATTTCTAGAGGGGTTAGTGGATGGAGCAGCAGTTAAGTCACTGGACTCCCACATGGCCGACTGCAGTTCAAGTCTTGGACCTGGTGGCTTAAAATTCACACCAGACACCTGTGTGTGTGTACAAGTCCAAGATCCCAGGAGAAGAAATGCAACACAGCCACCACCCGCTGGGGGGTGCTTTCTCACTTTCCTTCTTACGGTCTCTCTCTCTCTCTCCCATGAGCACGTTTTTTTCAACCTCTTTGGAAAAAATATATATGTGTATATATAATATATATATGTGTGTGTGTGTATATATATATATATAGATACACATATACACACACACACATTTTTTTCTTCTAAAAATTCAAGGGGGCTCCATGAGCACAAAATCCTATTGTGCCAAGAGAATTTCCACTCTGCCTTTCACCTTTGGAAACTGAAATAGAACAAAACAATTGATAAATACAACCAGGGTTTCCTAATGCAGTCCAGAACTCCTGAAATTCCTTCCTATGGGACCAGCAATTGGCATAATGGCTATGTCGCTGGACTCCCATATAGTCAACTGCAGTTTGAGTCCCGGACCCAGAAGCTCAAACTCACGCTGGGCACATGTGCATGTGTGCCCAAGATCCCAAGCAGAGAATGGAGAAGGGATTGCGGCGTTTGCGGCGTGGCCATCCCCACCCCCAGGGGGGGTGTGATTTCTTGCTTTCTGTCTCTCTATCTCTCTCTGTCTTTCTGGTAAGCTCACACACCCTATAGCAAAAACCTCTCCCAAAAAAAAAATAAATTCCTTCCTATTCACCCTCTTCTGGGACCTCCAAAAATAATCAAGAGAGGCAGGCTTAGACCAAGTTCTTTCTGGTTCCAGCACCTCCAATAGCAATCAATGTAGATAGCCTCAGGGTTTGAGTGTATTTAGCCACAGCCTCAGCTCCCACCACTTAGAGGGACTTTCCCATCAGCACCAACTCAGATGACAAGGATCAGGGGCCTGCCATCAACTCCATGTAAAACCCTATATATTTCATAAGGATTAAACACCATTGCATCAGACTACTCCCTGTCGCTGCACAGGGACGTTCTTGGATAACATCTGAATGTTCTCACAAGAGTGGGTACATGCACACACGTGTATGTATGCATGTGTATTCATGCCCATATAGTGTGTGTATGTGCGTGTGTGTGTGTGTGTTGGTAGGGACAGATAAAAGATATTAGAGGGGAAGTGGAATAATACATGAACATGTTTTTTTAAAAAAGTGTTTAGGGGACCAGCAGTTAGCGTAATGCTATGTCGCTGGACTCCCATGTAGTCGACCACGGTTTGCGTCCTGGACTCGGTGGTTTAAAACTCACGCCGGGTGCATGTGCATGCGTGCCCAAGATCCTGAGAGGAAAACGGAGGAGAAGGGATTGCAGCATGACCATCCCCCCGGGGGGTGATTTCTTGCTTTCTGTCTCTCTGTCTGGCAAGCACACGCACCCTATAGGAAAAACCTCTCTCTCTCAAAAAAAAAAAAAAAATGTTTAGAACAGTACAAAGGGGTATAGAAAATTAAGTCCCCCTACTGTCCATCCCTCAAAGGTAATCACTGCTATCAGTTTTTTGTAAATTTTCCCAGAAATAGCATATACTGATATAAGCAGTATATGTACACATGTGCATGTGAGCATGTATTTACCCTTAAAAATAAAAACACAAATGAAAGCTCTTTTTCCTACTTAACCGTACAGCACAGAAACCATTCAATATCAGCACCTGTAAACGTCTTCATTTCTTTTCAAGGGTACTATAGCATCCCATCTCATCAATTTAACAACTTATCCGTTGCCTAGTGAGAGATGTTTAAGTCATTTCCAGCTTTTTGCTGGAATAATACTTCAATCATTGTATAGACGTGTCTTGTGGTATACATAAATCTCTAAGATAAATGCCTGAAAATAGAATTGCTAGATAATAGTCTAATAGATATTTTATCTTTTTTTCCCTTTCTAAAATTTCTTTTATGAGAGTAAGACAGAGAAAGACAAGTACACTCAAGAGGGTCCGACGTCTCAATCCCCTGACTCCCCTGCCTTTCCAGGCAGTCGGGATGGTAGACGTGCACACCTGTGTGTACAGGTCAACCGAGGAACTGAGCCCACAATCTTCTACATGAATACAGCTTCGCTCGAGCAGTTATGGCTGTGCCACTGAACTGGCCCTTCTCTACCTGTGACAGCTTTTGAAGCAGTCCTCTAGTAAAGAAGTACCAATTTGAGGGGGACTTCAAAAAGTTCATGGAAAATGGAATTAAAGTACAGTTTTATTTTGGTGCAAAAAAACTTTTGAAATCTATGCTTGGTTCTCTCAAAATACTCATTTTCCACCTGCTTACTCATGCCCTTTCCACATCCCAATCATGCATCTCATGGATCTCAGATTCCTTTAAACTGGCTTTTCTCCTACAATAAATAAGGTTGTACGCCATCTCAATAACAGCAACAAAACTAACACTTATTGAGCACTATGTGAGCACTATGTAAAATATGTTTATATTTATTATTCAATCTTCACTTTATCAATTTGGAAATTGAGCTTAACAGATTTTAAAAATTTGCTTGAGCTATAAGAGGGAGTCAGGATTCAAATCCAGGCAACCTGGGGCCAGTGTTTATATTCCCTGCCTCTCAGTCTAATATGTTTCAGAGCCCAGGTGTCAGCCTTTTGTGAAAAGTGCCTCTTTTTTCTACCGGACAACTGATTTTTTTTCTTGATTTTTAAGTATTCTTTGTATAAGATTATCTTAAATAGTTTTAGAAGACAGAGGGAAGAGATGCCACTCAAATGGCCAGCTCTGTGCCTCTTAAAAATGTGGTGAAAGGAGTCCCAAGAAATCAGAATATATACATGCCTGTAAGTAGGCAGATAAATTTAAAGAAAATCCTAGAATATGACCAATATAGTGTCAGTCTTCAAAATTTTAAGTTTTACGATGATATAGAATTAGTCAAAAATATAAGAATCTCTACCTTTAAATGTACATGATGATGAGGGTGGCTGAATCCCACATGGCCCATTGTGTGATCTAAATCTTGGACCCAGTGACTTGAAAAACATGCCAGCACATATGCATGCATGCCCAAAATCCCAAAAGGAGATATGGAAAAGAAGGGATTGCAAGGTGGTCATTCTCCCCACCCCCATGGAGATGCTTTCTCTTTCTCTCTCCCCCTATCCCTCTGAGCCCTGTACGTTCTAGCAAAAGCTTAAATAAATATTTTTGAAATTACAACATAGGACCAGCTGGTGGCGTGGTAGTTAAGATGGCTGGATCCTACATAACCAACCACATGGCTTGAGTGCCAAGACCCAGAGCCTTGAAAAACACACCAGGCACAAGTGTGTGTACACATGCCCAAAGTTCTGAAAGGAGGGAGAAAGGGAGGGCCAGGAATTACAGCATAACCATTCCTCATGGGGGCACGGGACAGGATAAAATAAAGCTTTAGTAATTTAGCAATGAGTAAACTCGGTTCATATAATAAACCATAAAAGTTAGCCTGATCTAGTAGTAGATTACCAAACCCTTAGGGCAGAGTTGCCTGTACTTGATTCATGATTTTACGATTCATAATTATACCTTTGTCAGGAAGTTGTATGGTTTTGAATGGTACTACCCCTTTGTATTGTACATTTTTTTTAACTTGCTAGAGGGTATGTATGCTTGCCAGAGAGAGAAGCTACTTCTCCAAAGACTTGTAATTTATGAGTCAATATAAAACATAACTCACATCTCTTACATGCAGAGCCATCATAAAAGAAGAAATCACCACCAAGTCTTGGCATGGTGGAAAGGACAGTGTCCTGAGGCTTGTGCTTTAGTTGTAGGTTTACCTTTCATTAGTCAGCATGACATCCACTTACCTTTTCCTGCCTGAGTTTCCCAAAAGTCTGTCCCACTTCTAAAAATGTGTAAGTTTACATTCAAGATGGAATGAAGAAGCTACGGGAGGGACCAGCAGATGCCATGATGGTATATATGTCACTGGACCCCAATGTAGTCAACCACAGT